GGGGGGGGGAGGAGGGTAAGAAGGAGATCCCAGATGGCAGCAGGTCCTGACTACTTCAAAAGTGAGGAGTTAGGGCATCAGAGCAGCCTGGTTCATGAGGCGAGCAGAGAAGGGAAGGGCTGGGCAGGAAGGCAGCCTTGCTGTGGCCCACCGGGGGCAAGGAGGTGGCAGGCGGTGCCACCTGTAGACTAGGCTGATAAGCACTCCCACACCCACGCCAGCAGGCAGGGGGTGGCCAGGAGGCCAAGGGCAATCAGAGGGTCCCCAACCCTGACCCAGAGAACAGAAGGGCGTGAGGCAAACACAGCATCCCCACTGCTGGGCCTAAATGAGAAGCCCCCTGGGCAGGAGAGCCCCGTGGTGCCTAGCCGAGAAGCTGGGCCAGATGGGCGTCGGGGGCAGGTCCCCTTGCCAGGCTGCCGCCTGCCTGCCACTCTGCACGTTCCCAGGAAGACCCGGGCTTTCCGGCGCCGGCATAGACCAGCGGCCCAGGGAGGCCCGGCCGCCGCGCACCAGCTGTTTCTCCAACCCCGGCGGGCGCCAGCCGGCTTTGTTTGCATTGAGTCAGAGGGGGCTGTGCGTCCGGGACCCGCGGGCACCAGGGCCAGAGCGCGGCGCTGGGCAGGGGAGGGAGGGCCAGGGGAGACCGGAGATGCGGGGGGTGCGGGACAGGGGCGGACAACGGCGTCGCCGGCTCGGGGATAGGCACACGTCACCCAAAGGTGGCAGCAGCGATTGAGGGGAGGGGTCTGTTGCCGGGAGAGGAGGCCAGGGACTGGGGCGAGGGCCAGGAGGTGGAGCCCCGGGGTACAGGCCGAGGGGTCCCACTCCGGCCCTGCCGCGGCATCACCCTCCGGTCGGCCGGTCCCCCATCTCTAGGCAAGCCAGGATCGCACACCCCATCCCCTGCCCAGGCCCTAGCCCGGCAAGTGGGTGGGAGGCCGGGGCCCGGGGCGCACCTGCGTCTTGGTGGTGAGCTGGATTACCGCCTTCCGGAAGTTCAGCTTGGAGTCGGCCGACCCCATGTCGCTGGAGCCAGCTAGGGTCTGGCCGGGGATCCGGCTCCGGCTCCGGCTGCGCGGCCCCCGCTGCTCTCGCAGGAGCGGAGCGATGCACCCCGCCCGCCGCCGGCGTTGGCCCCGCCTCCGCCAGGCCCCACCCCCAACA